TAGTAGTAATGGCCGCCTGTAGGTTGGTAGTTGAAGATGGAGGCTGACTCAAAGTAGACTCCAATAGGCCTGAAACGGTGCCCCGTATCCGCGAACGATAGAACTGGACGAGCTCGTCGCCGCCGCCGGGCCCGGCCTCTAGCTCTCGAACAACATCGAGGGCGAACTCCGCTCTATTCTCGCCTTGGGTCATCGGCCTCCCAAAATCGCCGAAAAAGTCTATCAAAGTGTCCGGGCTCCCGAAGAATACTGTCCTCCCCTTCGATAGTACCAACAGTCTGTCAATAACCCCTAGAATCCTCGCGCTAGGCTGGTGAATCGAAGTAACGACAACGCTTCCCGAGCTTGCAATCCTCTGCAGTACCTTCATCACCATGAAAGCGCTGGTGGAGTCAAGCCCGGACGTTGGCTCGTCCAGAAATAGGAGTATGGGATCGTGGATAATATCCGTGCCTATGGACACACGGCGACGCTCCCCGCCCGAAATTCCACGATGGCCCTCGTCACCTATTATGGTGGAAGCCGCTGCGCGGAGGCCGAGTTGGTCGATGAGAGCTTGCACTCGGGCTAACTTCTTTGAGGCGGAGAGCCACCGTGGTAGTCGGAATTCGGCGGCGAAAGTAAGGGTCTCCTCAACGGTGAGCATAGGAAAGAGGAGGTCGTCTTGCATCACGTAGGCAGAAATAGTTTTTTGGATCTTGGATTCCAAGAGCTCGCCGTTGAGGTAGATGACTCCATTGCCGAGGCTAGGCTTGGCGATGCGATCGGCGAGGGCGTCGATGAGTGTGGATTTTCCGGAACCGCTGGCACCCACTACGGCGAGGATCTCGCCCTCGCGAGCCTCGCCAGAGATAGAGTCTAGGAGGGTGCGACGGGGAGGGAGCGCATCTCTGTCTGATGGAAGATGGATGCGATCGACAAAGTAAGGAATAGTTTTTGAAGTTTGGGTCTTGATGGTGTAGGTTAGGTTGTAGAAGCTGAGGATGAAAGGGGGAGGGTGGTCAAGCTCTACCGGTGTGTTTTCAGTGGTTCGGTCGGCATCGACAGCTAAGCGGAGAAGCTCGGCTGGATGGGACTCTGCGGCGTTGATTCCTACAGGGAGGAGACCGTTGCGATTGAGGTCATGCTCGGCGACGACGGTGGCGGAGTGCGGCATGGGTTGTGTTTTGAGGACAGAGTGAAGAGGCATCGCCGCCTTTTGTCCTGACTGCGTTGTGACGTTTTACCGATGAAATGAGAAATAGAGGAATGAGACAGGGAAAGGGTGGCGGTGCACAATCGAAAATGGGAGGGATAAATACAGGGATGAGGGAGACGTTGATTGTATCCTTTTGTTTTGGTAAGAAATAGTTTTCTAAAACCTGCAAGTTTTTCTAAATTTTGGAGGTAGTGGCCCCATCCCGCGTGTCCAATTCTGTAATACTTGCTAGATATGTTTCCAACTATATTGCTGGCTCAAATGGTATGGTGAAACCTAATTATGTATTGTTTAGGACAATTAAATACCATCAAGGTGGGAGAGGATTAACTTGGGGTTTCATCAATTAGGCTTCTCAAGAAAACTATTACAAAGAGAAACCTTTTGACGTCATCTCTCTCTCACCCTTTCATTCTGACCAATTATTTATATATAAGAAGCGAAGCTAACACTATAAAAATGTGTAATAAATGAATTTGGTTAAGACAAATATAGTGAATTGCTAGTAGGTGAGTGACTGATAACTTAGAAATAGGTATGTTTGTTTGGTATAGAAGGAAGTCCGTTGAGTCAAGAGATATGTAAGGCTAACGAGATTTTGTGATCTTTAAGCTAAGTTTGATAGGGCTATAAGGTACGGCTTTGACATTAGAGGTCGAGAATTTGTCTCTGCCCATTTATGTTCAAGTTAATATGTTTGTTTTAAATTATAATTAATTACATAAATAAAAAAAGATAAGATTAACAATTGTGTTTCAACATCAGTGTTCGCATATTATTGAATCTTTTTAGAGCGTAGGGTCATGTATTGTTCGTGAGCCTATAATAGAGAAAATATCATAATTTAGAAGAAAAATGTGGAAGAAAATGATGGATATATTGCTACAGCTTGGGTTCTTGTTTTCTTCCCTAAATCTCCAATATACAAAAAAATCGTTCAAAGAAAGGGTTTCTTTGTTTAGGAGTGAGAGAGAGAGAAAGAGAGTCCACATCCAGTTGATCAGTCTTTTGGGGTCCTACTCCTTCACCTTTTCCTCGTATGGGAAAATAAAAAAAACTAAGGAAAAAAATTGCATCACGTACATTGCTGTGCCTACGCATGGTGTCGTGATGAAAAGATTGTGACGTAGATATCAAACAATGCTTAAATAAAGATGGGCACATATCCTTATTTATAATGATGATATTATCCAGTAGCTGCTTCGTCACGCAATGTCAACCACTTTTACAGGTGGCCTTTGTTCTACCACATTTGCAGACAAGCATAGTTCAACCACTTCGGTAGGTGATCTCAGTTTAACCACTTCATTAGGTGGGCTCTATTTGACCACTCTAACATTTGGGTTTAGTTTTATGATATTGGCCTCTGAGGCTTATAAGTCTTATCGATCTTTACGTCTTGCCAATGTTGAAAATTTGCCAATGTATGTATGTTCGTATTTGGGAAAATATTTGATAAGCTGAAATCATACCACGAAGTAAGTTGGTTCCTCAGGCAAATATATGTGTCAAGTATTAATGCAATTATAGAGTACTGCATATCGATCCCACAAGGAAAGCTCTAGAGCTATTTTTATGGGTGAAGTGATGTGTGGAGAAATTAGTTAGTTTTTCTTGATGTTTCTTCACATTTTTATGGATGTGTCTAGTCATTTTTTAAGAAAGGTATTTATTGTTTATCTGTAAAACAACAAATTGAAGTTGGGAAACTAATAGAAGACTTAGAGCATAAAGGTGCAAAGTAGCACTGGAGATTAGGCGCCGGACCCTTGGGAACGTAGGTGTCAATCTTTCCCTTACCAACTTGAGAGGTTGGCGTGTGGGCACTAAACATTGGGTTCCTAGACGCCGTGACATGGGTTCCTATGCATCGGACTGCTTGGGTGATCCTGCTCCGATATACTCCTCAACAGACAGAGATTCTGACACCTAGGCGCTGGAAACTTCCTAGAGAAATTGCTGCAGTTCGGAAATTCAGTATGGTGGATCAAGTGTGGGAGCATGTAGGGATCGTGGAAGCTAATGTAAAGAGCCTATAAATAACAATACATTACACGGTGATAGAAGATGGATGCTTGCGGGTTACTTAGTGGGTTTTACTTGCTGTGGAGAGTCCTTCTAGTTTCTGTGTAGAGGACAGGGACAGTTCTAAAGGAGCAACAACCTAGGAATTCAGGAAGTTTGTTGATTGATTCATCTTCTAACCATTGTAAAGTAGAGAAAGCTAAGTCTTTTTTTGTATAATTTTTGTTATATTTCAGTTGTAACAATTAGACATAGGATTTCTCTTGTTTAAATGAATCTGCTTGGTGTTTTTATCTTGCTTCATGAGTAGAATTTTTACTCTTCTTTGTGATGATTAAGTAGGATGGGTGGAATGATAGTTGGATAGTATTTTAATGACTTTATATGATGATGAGAATGTATACTTTTCATTATGACTGTAGGCATTATTTTAGGTTGAGGAGTTGCCCGTTGGAAGCTGTCAGCTGCCGGAATAGAAATCCCGTCGCCCGCTTTGGAAGGACGTTTTTAACTTATATATATATATATTGTCCTGACT